GTACCCACCACTGTCATCCTCATTACCATCACTATGCCTCCTCCACCCTTCCATCTCTGTCTTTCCCCTCCTGCCTATTCTTTCTGGCAGCATACTCATATTTCTTATCTCCGCATTCTTATACCCACCTTATCTCTCTATCTTCAAACCTCACCTTAACATGTTGTTGGACTGTGTTGAAACAACTCCAGTTAAATAGGGAACAGGGGGGTAGGAAAGAAAGGGGGAAAAACAGGGATTAATCAGAGGTTGGATTGGCCAACAGCCGACTAGACTGAGCGCAGAAGAGGTGGCTGAGATGGGAAGGAAAATAAACATTGAGGCTACTGTGAGTGGGTGGAGATTGAGATATACTACCACTTCTATTACTCCACTCATGGACAGTGTTTCTCCTCAGCTGCTCCTGTATACACTACCAACACTTAGTAAACAGGGAAACAAGACGAGCTCTAGAGCAAGCTGAGATGGCATTCAGTTCATTTTCTCACATGCCAACAGTGTGCTCTTTGACTTCCTGCTTGGTGACCCCTTGTGCAGACACACACATACTTAAACATGTTTTTTCCATATACTCACACGAATGACACACATCTTACACATGTTTCTGAGCACGAAATGCATATCCCAGCTGCAGTAATTTCTCAGAGAGAGTTAGACATTGCTGCTGTGAATGGGCCTGAGGTGAGTCATAAGCAGCAGAATGAATTGTCCCATAGGCACTGATTTCTATTTTCTGTGCTTTTCCTCCTAATGTTTCAGCTGAAGTTTCAGTATAGTCCTGACTACTCCCCAAAGGTTATCTCCCACTATGAGTCATAGGTAGAGACTGGTTTAAACAAGCGAGGTTTATGAAAGGAGTGTTTTTTTTTTGATGAAGAAGTGTACGTTGAGGGGATGCAACTGGCAGCTGTTTAGCTAGATGACTCGTAGGATTGTGTAATCCTCGAGGGCCGTGGGGGTTTCTCTGTGTCACTGGGCTCTCTGAGCTTCACCACACTCTGCGTTACAGCTGTCAGCTCCTGGCATCTATGACTCAAACAGAACTGGCAGAAAGGGGAGTAAAGTCCTGCAGCTTGGAACAAAAAAAAAACAAAGGCTTTGGAGCAGAAAGAAACTCATATTCATCCAAAGATCATTTTAATGGCAGAGATAGCGAGGAAAAAAAGTGAATGTGTCCATCTGCTGCAGAATGAAAACCATCTATGACTCCTTTTGGGTTATTTTTTTTGGCTTGATCAATTTGCTGGTGCAACTTGTTATATAACTAAGCCGAACATTTGCCTTTGTGAGTGCCTGTTTGTGTCGGTATATGTGCCATGTATTCTGAAACCATACACCTTACCACGCCCTGTGTGTTCGCTGGTGTCATGCTGCTAACACCTTGTGGGAGCGTCATTGACCTGCCCTCTGAATCAGCATAGCAATGCTACAACATGTACTCCTCAAATGAGACATGACAACAAATTCAAAGTTTTACACTATTTCAGTACATTTTAAATAGTAGTGAATTTTATGTATTTATATGTACACACCCGCAGTGTGTTTTGTGTCTGTGCTTGTGTTGTTTGTTTTATTTCGTAAAATGTAAAAAAAAATACCCTTTTTTCTTCTGTTAACAGAAGCACAGTGGAAGGATGGTGTGACGCACAGGCAGAGGGACCAGTCACTGCTCACCACTCAAAGGCAGATCATGGCTCCCATGTCTCTCCTTTTCCTGGGCTTCCTTCTCACCCTCCTTCATCCTTCAGCTGCCCAGACCATCATTGGCTCTTCATCCCCCCTCCCTCGTCTGGACCTGCCTATTAATTCTTCACCTCAACCAACCAAGCAGACTGCTAGATTTTGGCCTTCTTTGCCTCCCAGAGGGCGTAGTGATGTGCCTATCAGAGCTACAGTGCGGGATAGACTGCAAACTACAAATGCAGTGCAACAGAGAATATCCCGTCCTACTGCACAGTCCACTCCTTCTTTTATACCTGGCCTTTCTACGCAGAACCTCAGCAGCGGGCCAGTTTTAACACAACCTACTGCAACCAGGCCCAGGACTGATACAGCTAGTTTAGCAATCATCAGGGCTTTAGCAAAGGGAGATGCTACTACAAAAGGCTCAACTCCACCACTGCCCACTTTGCCCTCCTCTGCTGTCGCTGAGTCTGCAGGTGATAAGCCAGTGATAGCAGGGAATCCAGAGGAGGGATCAGTGAAAGAGACAGAGGATGATGATTTGCAGGGGTTTGGATCAGGCAGTATCCCAACAGTGATGGTTGTGACGGAGGAATCACCTATTGCTCTGCCAACGGTTGGTGATGAAATGGCTCAGTATCGGCCACTGGCACAGACCGCGATATCTAAAGTTTCTGATGTAGAAACACCACTGCCAGACAGTCAGACGCTGGAGCCTCAACTGTTTGTCCTTACAACAGCCAGTAAAATCTCTACGACGCCACAGACTGAGACAAGAGCCACCCTGTCCCCTGTGGGAACACAGGCGACACCTCAGAATGAAATGTTAACAGGTGAGAAATCAAATATAATAGAATTAATGCTTCATGACAGTAAGGTGCTGTTGAGGTCAAAATCTTCACACCATGTCACAAATGTGTCTTTTCCACCATTTTTAGGTGAACTGACGGCAAACACTCCTTCCACCGCCAAAGTTACTACAAAGCAGGACTCTGCTGCAGTGACATTACCCCAACTCACAACTACCACCACCGACTCTGTCGATAAACAGTCAGAGAATGTCGGACAGCCAGTTTCTGCCCAAAACAGTTCGCATTCAAACACCTCAACACAGCAAGTGGCAACCACAGCGACAACCAGTACGCTTACTACACAGGAAGCTGTGAGAACATCCTCCAAAACAACAAATCAACCCAACAAAACAACCCAAATGGGAAGAAATACAGCCAGCACAACTGTACAGTCATCAAGGACAGGTAATAAATGAAGGTCTTGTGCTCTGTAGTTGATACTTTTAGAGTGACCTTTATCCTTTGATAATTTAAAATGGAATTATTTGTGCAGCTGGGACTTCTTTACTGGAAGAATCTGGAAAAGCCTTCAAAGGAGGGAAAAAGCAAAGAAACATTTCCATGAAAAGTGGGGTGGTAGTTATGTGGGGTAGACACAGGGAGGAAAGAAAGTATGAGCAAGAGGTGAGAGGGAGGTTTGAAGAGGGGGCGGGTAGAGTTGCAGCCAGGCAAAGAGATAGACAAGAGGAAAGTAGGGTCTGAAAAAGAGACTGTTGGGAATACCGATGAGAGACTAGATTGGGGTGGGTGAAAGTGTGGTAGAAGAAAGGTACAGACACAGAATTGCAAGGAGAGGGATGGTAATGAAAACCAGATGCACGGAGAAAGGGATGAAGGGAGGGGAGCTGAGAAAAAAGTAGATGGAAAAGGAAAAGCATGACACATGGGGCCTATGACCAAGTCTCTTAGATACTATGAGAACAACATCTTAATGACTTTTAAATGGTCAGACTCCTGCCCCATGAGTACATTTAACGTCGAGTATGTTTTTTGGCAGTTCACTGAAAGTATTAACGGCCTGCATCCATGGCGGTACCAGTGTCTACTGCGTGTATATATCTGGGTCGTAAACATACGTATGATTCTGTGTCCTATGAGATGGAACAGGATATTTAGTTTTTAGTTCATTGCAACATGCTGACATATAAAGCAGTGTAAGCAGTGTGTGTGTGCGTGTGTGTGTGTGTTAAAGAGAAAACTCAAGGGTAGGGGTAGGTCTAAGTGTATCCAGCTGTGAAATGTGATCAGCACATCTGGAATGTGTCTGGATCTTGCTCCTGTTAGAAAAAAAAAAGTTTGAGGGAAGGAAGTAAAACATACGTTTATATAAATAAAGAAGTGTGTCTGTGATCTGTACGCAGTGCTCGCATGTGTGAGTCTGAAACGCGTGTGTGTGATAGGAGGGAGAGAGCCAGGAAGTGAAACACATGTTGGAGTGAGTCATTAGTTGTTGTGTCAGCTTTATGGGTGTCCTCTACAGGGTGAGGACGGAGCTTAAAGCCCTCCAAGTAGCTAATGGTTTGAGTGTTTTACCTCTGATCATGTTGTTCCACCATCCATCAAGTTTAAATGTGTGTGTGCGTGAAACAATTCCTCAGAAATAATTCTAGATAGATACCCTTTAGCTACTATCAGTCACAGTGACACCTTTTATGGGGTTGGTGTCTTCTCTCTGTTAGTAGGATTATTCACATCATTCCATGGTACTCAATCAGTTCTTGTAGGTTATGTTTTTTACACTGTGTGTTATCTTTACACTTCACAAAGCACTCAGTGATGAATGGCTTCATGATTATAATGCTGTTGGGTGTTTCCATGGTATTGCAGAAGGAGAAGGTGGAGTGCCTTGAACAAACAGAAATATGTGTGTGCATGTGAAAATCAGAGAGAGACAGAGATGTAACGCGGTGGCACATTGCGGTGCTGTCTTATCCCACGAGGTCGTTAAGTATTGTATAATACTGCAAGAATGAGTTTTTCTCATTCTGGATGCTATGTGACACTGTTTATTTTACGTAATGTAGACGTTAATTACATAATCTAATCCTATTAAGCCTACTAATTACTACTCAGTTATCCAGAGGAGTTTTGCTCAACATAATGTCTTTTATGTTTAGGTATATAATGTGGATGATGAGGTGGCATGGTATTCAAATCGTTAAATGTTATGATTGCTGTTTCAGTTGCATTAGATGAGTAAATATATTTTCTACATGCGTTTCTTTTTTCAGTACTTAGAAAAACTACACATACATAATTTCACTTTGGCTTAAATATTTAAACATATATAATACTCTCCACACACTGTGCTGGTATTAGCTGATGTATATTGTGCCTTGTTTCTTGATTACATGTGCAGTGGTGTGTGCCATATTGAGTACATATACATGATGTGTAATCTGTCCATTTCTGCTTGCACATAAGGGCACTGTCTGTGGTTTATGTCTAGTATTTCTGCACTTACTGTATTTTTGCATACAGTGTTTCAGTAGATGGGCAGCAACACACTAACCTGACACTCAAAAAGAGGAGAGAGAAAAGGAAAAATACAATTGAGTCTGTACAAGTTTGCTAATTTGATTAGACCTTGTCTTTATGTAGACCTGGGACAATGTGTCTGTACAGAATGGATTTGGTTACAGAGAGGGCCAGTTGGTTCTAGCTCTTGACTTTGATAGTGAGCTACACCCCTCTAGTGGCACTAAAACAGTATTTCATGCTCTTCTATACTATTGCTCTGTTTTTCAGATAAATGGCATTTAAAAAGAACTTTACTATCAACATTTTAGTTTCATGTATTTAAAAAACTCTGTTTCTCTTTTTCTAGGGACCGCTTCATTCCTTGCCACAGGTGTCACCCGAATAAGGTTGAGCCCCACATATCAGACTGGCATTGGTCAAAGGAACCGCTCCATTCTCCTAGGACATCCTCACCAAGCTCCCTTCTCTACTTCTAATGCAGCCCCCTCTCCCAGCACCAGTCCTTCCCCTAATGCCACACTTCTCTACTGGGGGGACCTGAGCCGGACGCTGGCTTTTGCCTGGGAGCTTCATGTCTACGGCTCAGCAAGCCTCTTCCTCCTCCTGTTTGCTGGTGCTGCTCTCGGTCTCACTCTGTCCCCTGGCACAAACTGTCCTCACCGAGGGGCTCTTGCACTTGCCAATGCTCTGTTGTTTCTGGCCGGAGGACTTAGAGCGGTTCTTTTTCTAATTGACCCCTATGGCACACGGAAATTCCTCCCTCGCCCCGCAGTTACTGCGCTCTACAACTTGCCTCTACACCTGCTGGTGTGGACACAGGCTGCCCTGGCACTGCTGGCATTGAGGGTGGCAGGAGTAAGTGTGTTACCTCCAACTTTGGAACGTCCTCCTCTGGTGGCTGTGCTGGCTGTGTTGCAGTGTACCCTGCTGCTGGCGGCTGATCTGCTTTCACCAGCACTGTCCCCTGTGGTGCCCGTCACCCTACAGGTCCTGTCCCTGTGCTGGGGTCTTGCTCTCTGTCTGGGCTTCCTCTGCTATGTCTTTCCACGTATACGCTGCCCTGCTATTCCTCATGCTGGAGTCCCTGAAGAGGCCAGGAGGAAGACCTGGACAGGGAGCAGGAGGTTGGGGGTGATCCTAGGGAGAGTGCTGGCAGTTTGTGCAGTCCTGGGGGCACTGTGCTGTGGGCTGCATGTTCATGCCACCTTATGGCTCTATGGACTGCTAGGAAACTGGACACGCTTCAACTGGGGGTGGTGGCTGGTGCACTTCTGGGCCCGGCTCCTGGAGCTGGCCTGGGGGTTCTCACTCCTGCTCCTGGCTTCCTGGGTGTTCTGGAGGCCTCAAGGTTGCGGAGGAAGGGAGGAGGGCGGGCCCGATGGCAGAACAGCAGGAGACCAGCCGTCCCCTGGCCAATCTGTAGGCTCCACTCAAAGACACACCTGCTGGTCCAAGATAGTCCAGAGCCTGAGGGGGAAGCCATGTAGAAAGTCTGACAGTAATGGGGTGGGAGGAGGAGGAGGACCAGGGGAGGTGCCTAACAACTGGGCTGGCCAGGAGCGCCCTGGAGCTGACATCAGCAAGAGTCTGATCAGGAACCAGAACCACGAGCAGTCCACTGCACAGCCACGCTGTGTCAAAGACAGCAACCGGGGACGCAATCACAGGGGCCACTCTGCAGAACGAGGCATATCTGATGGCTCCACAGGCTCCCTGCTGAGACTGCAGGCGCTGGGCCGGCCTCCACAGCGCTCAGTGAGTGGCAGCCTGGATCAGGATAGGGACACTTCCCTGTCTCTTTATGAGTTCGATCTGCGGCCCCCATCTCCCATTGACCTGACCCGCAGCATTGACAAGGCTCTGCACAGGGAACACCTGCTCGGTGAAGGGAGCTTGTTTTATCCTTTGAACCAAACCTCACTGTGCCCCTCCCCGGGCTCAGGGGTCAGCCAGGGGCCCTGGCTCCGCAGGAACAGTGACCCTCAGATGCTGTCTGAAAGCAGCGAGGCCCCAACAGAGTCTTCAATGCCACTGGGGGGCAGCGTTCTCAGCAGTGTTCCTAGCAGGCAGGTGACTGCTCCCCCCACACCCTCCCACCAGGGTTACAGGTGGGCTGGGAACACGACAGGAAGTGTCCCTTCATCAGTGTCCTGCCCTGTGTCCCTTCGCCCCTCCAGAACATCGACAGGGCATCTGGGGGAGGATGGGGTGGACGACACACGGCCGTTTATCACCCCGGACTCAGAGAGGGTGCGGGGGAGGGCTGGAAGACCGGTAGGGTCACGGAGTTACCTGGAGGTCAGCAGACACGATGACTCTGCCAGTGTCAGCAGTGAAATTATTGATCTATGAACCAAACCTTAAACAAAACATAAGGACCAATGGCCGCATATCAAACACCCCATTTAACATACTGTTCCTAACCAAGAGTTCAACAAATAAATGATTGAATGGCCCAAAGATTGGCCTAAAAATGTAATATTTTTAGAAGAGGGAAAGTATTGAAAAGTGTCTCTTGGTGATCACCGTAAAGGATATCATCTAGTTGCCTTTTGCTTTGTTAAAGGGTTCAACAACTATGTTGGTGGAACAGATATGGTATACCTTTTACTCTAGGAGTAAATATAAGATAAAAATATAAGATATAGCACAGATAAACAACACACTCATAACTCTTTTTATCTGTAAAACGTTAGTGCCCTCTTTTTCTTGTCTTTCCTCTCAAAAACACACTCCTGCATAACACTGGTATAACTTCAAGTACACTGGGACCAGAAATCCAGTTCAACAAGTCCTAAAAATGGCTCTTTAGCAGGTCCCTTCTTTGGGTTGGTGTGAAATTTGTGATGGTGATGATTTTCTATCTTCCCATAACTTGAATGAAGTTATGAAATAGGTTTAGATCATCAACTCCCTGTCTGTGAACAGCACAACTGAGAGTTTCAATATGTTTGAAGGGTTAAAGACAGATGTGGCTCTAAGGTCTCATTTTTATTGTTTCTGTGAAAAATGTCTGCATATCAACAATTGTGAATTTCATTGCTTTCATAGAGTTTATTTGCTGTCTTCCATATTTGCTTTGTGATGTGCCATACATAACCTTGGTTGGTTTTGTGCTATTTTTATGGTTCTATAAACCCATTATTTGGGTTAACTCTCTATAGCGTCTTACCAGTATCATAGTGACTCACCTACGGATTACTACTTCTAAGCTCTTAACATGCTGCTGCTGTTGTTGTTGTCCAGTCTGCCTTGTATGCTAATGTGAAGCTGGTTACGTAAAGGCACAGGCAGTAAACAACAGCCTGAAACATGCAGACGCATGCATGTGAAAGTGTTGCTGAAGCTTTTAGATGTATCTGAAATTGTCAGAATTCAAGCATTCCCCTGTGAGTTTAAAGCATTTTATCTTATTAGTTTGCTGTAGGACTTTGCTGTAGGACTCATAATGACAAAGCTTTTGCAATCAGTAATTATGTATGATTGAAGCCTCTGACTGCAGTTTTACAGAATTTGACTAAAATATTATTACATAATCATGATCCTATCAGTTGCATTGAATCAATTCAGATTGTTTGATATGTTAACTAATTAAAAGCTACACGGCTTTGCAGGGCTGCACCCTACATGACTGGCTTGGCATGAACCTCAGATCTCTTATATTAGACCTAACTCAATAACAGAGCACTTAACTGTAAGCCTGAGCACTAGACTGAAGTATTTTACTACTCAAGAGGAAAATATCTTTCAAATATATGATGTATAAGCAACAATGTAAATAATGTTTTTTTGATGTTCATGAATAAAGGTGTATTTGAAACATAGTTGTAGTTGTTACTGTGAAAGACAATCTGAAGTGGTATTGTGTCTGAGCTGTGCAGACTATTGTGACATCAGATTGAGGTCTGGGTATGACATGCAGAGCTGTGACAGTTAATACTTGACTACAGAGGTTATGTGAAGGACTTTCTGGGCTGTGCTCAGGATTGTAATGGTTATGCAAAATGAATAACTAATGGGCACAACAAAGGTATTGGAAAGAAACAGACAAAACCCTTCACATCTAACTATATTTAGTCTATTGATTAACTTCTGTTTGGTGATCCTGAAAATAGCCCAGTGGTTTTCTCCTCAGTCTTACATTTAAAAGGTTTTGTTCCATCATGAGATGTCCGTTTTTTTTTAACTGAACCTCACAAAAAGATGACTGAAATTTAATCTTGGGTTTATTTTGTTAATATTTAATGATACATTTCCAGAAGTGTTTTTTTTCTTTCCCAAAGTGGATAAACACTTTCAATTTTGGAATAAATCTTAATTTAGGCCTCTGTTCCTAAGAATCAGTTCATGACTTGTTTCCCGGTTACCTCAAGGTGACTTGCAGTACTTCCCAGTGATGTGAGATGCTTGACTTGTTTCCTATTTACAGTACAATGGCCTTGTGTTGTTGTCTACATTCCAATGAACCTTTAAGATTTCACTGTATCAGTTTTCGCTGTTACCTCTTTTACTTCATGACCAGGGAGGTATCTCCAGCACTCGTAGTGTTGTCCCCTCCACAAAGCAGTACGTGCCATAGAAAATACAATCAATGTGCCCCGTCCAGTCTGTAGTTACAGTACAGCAGTACAGTGTTAGATTGTTTTTTTATTTTGCTCATTGAACTTTTGTTCTTGTATTTCTTGCTGCATTTCATGTCTGGATTCAAATAAAAATGAGAAAATTTCAAGCCCCTTATTTCATTGCTGTTTATTAAAATAATACACTTACATCTCATTAATCCATCCACTCAGTTTCCACAAACTAGTGATATAATGCAGATTCCCAATCATCATTTTTTTTTTTTAAATCGACATCACTGTAGTTAGAAATGTTCCACACTGATTAGACAATACTGTGTCAATGAACTTTACAATTTACAATACACAATAATTATTGTGTATTTTATCACATATCAGTTCAGCCTCTTCTGACTCTGCACGGCCGGGTCTCTAGAGTTCAGTACGAAACTGCAGTGTAAGATTCTTCATCTTTTTCTTGTAGTCTTCATCAAACTGTTCATTCTGGGCCACAGTGAAATGGTTCTTCCAGTCACCAACCTTCCCTGCAGAACCACAGAGAGTCAGTCAATTATTCTACATAAAGGTGGAGATCAGAGTATTTTTTTCTTTTCAGACACATTTAGTTTATTTANNGATAGAATTAAGTTTCATTTCACATGTAAATTGTGTCATTGTTTACTGTACCTTTTCTTATGAAGGGAGAAATATTTAAATCCATGAATTTGAAGTTTATATGGTTTATCATGTTGTTCGTTTTCATTTTGTCAAACTGCACTCACACTGTCTATGATTCTTTCCTTTTCTTCAGCTGAAGGAGACAAACCAAGAAAGCAGCAGAGCTGGTCTATTTGCCGTTCAGGTATCCTGGAAGCAACAATTTGTTACATATTATCATCACCACCATTACCCTCCCCTAGAGGCAGAGCTTTGTAAATGTAACCTGCATCAGGGAGAATACTTTTTAATCCACATAAAACACAGACAATCACATAAAGCAACAATAAACTACCTCCAAAACCAGATCTTCGTAGAACATGTAATGGAGTTTTGAATAACTCTGTTTCTTCTTCCACCAGCTGTTCACATGGTCGTACCAGGATCCAAACACAACTAAAGCAACAGAACAATAAATAAAAGCACTTGAAGAGTGTGTGTATCTCCAATACAAGCCACTTTATTATAGTATTTCAGACATACTCTTTCCCTCCATGAATC